GTTTAAAAGGAGTAAACATGGTAGGAATTTCTTACATGTCCGGAGTCATTTATTCGGGATCAATTTTCTCTCAATATCTTCTGAATTAAGTCTGTCACATAGAACTTGTCCAATATAGCTTACATCTCATGTGTGATTTGCAGCTATGAAAATTTCCAATGGGAAGTTGCCCGTTATTCCGGAGATCTCAAAACAAAACAAAAAAAATCTTTGATAATTGGCTAAAATATCAAATTTGATTCTTCAAGCAGGGCCACACTTCATATAAAATCACGTTATATACTTATTAGTATATGACTTACTAATATCAAGTGACAATTTAATTTTAAAATGTTCAATTTACCCCTAATGAATGTTTTATACACACAAATATGTATCACTTATTTTACACCACAAGATTCAAAAGTTTTTATTTCTTTTTTAAATTTCGCATCGAATTAAACTAACTCATATAAAATGGAACGGCGAAATAGTTGGATCCCTTTTTTATCCACCATTGACTGGGATAGTGAATTGACATTGAAAAGCTGAAACCACACTTCTCTGTAGCCTTTTTTAAAGTTTCTGAAAATGATTAAATTAATTTGTTTTGACACGATATAACTATATATCTCAAAAATGCAATTTCCAAATGAGAAATAATTTTGTCTCCAATAATCTTTAAGTTGGTTGATGACGTTTTATTTCCAAAAAAAAGGAGAAAAGATTGTGTACAAATTGAGGATCACAAAGATGAACAATTAAAAACTATTGAAGATATGCATATATTCTACAAAAAGTAATTAACAAATAACAAGTTACTTACCAAACTATATAATATATTAGTAAATTTTTAGTCAGAAAAAAATATATTATCAGGTAATTCAAAAGATTTCTATTTGTATCCCACTATATGTAACTTGTAGACATAAAATTCCTTAGTGGCAGATCAAAGATTTTCACCAAAGAAAATCATACTATAAAGAAGTAAACACATGAATAACTTAAGGAAATTCAATATTATTTCGAATGTTAATGGGAGAATATGTTTCAAGTCAAAATTATTTATTTCGAATTAGATCATTGGTTGAGATGTCCATATGGTTGTGGTTGAATTCCACTTGGCTCATATATATTTCTTCAAGACGGATTGCTGATATTTTCTGTCTTTATAAAGTAAAAAACCGTAATGAAAGAGATTGGTCCTTGTTCAATAATGTTCACTCATGAGCCATTATATAATGGGGAAAAAAAAAAGGTGAGGAAGAGACAAAATAGTTAGGAAAACGTTTTTGTCACTTGAGAATTCATGTGGTTGATATACTTGTCAAGGTAGATAGTGAGCAGATTCAAATATATATTGGGGTGGGGGAGGGGGGGGGATGAATTTTATATATATGAGGAGGTGGGGCAAGGTGGAGAAGGGTCTAATTTAAAATATTTAATTTTATGTGTGTGGATAAATATCATTTCTTACCGCTCTTATGGATCAATTAGTCAGCTATAAAAAATTGATTATGTTTTGTCAAGTGGTATTTTAATACAATCACAAACCTCTTATTTTCTTTATCTCTATAACTGGTCCTACTTAAATTGAAGTTCATGCTTCTAGCTAACTCAATCAATGTGTTGGAGTTTCATTCTTTCAATCTCTTCGTCAACATAAAAGAAGAGCTCTTCAGGCTGAGGTCCAATTCATCTCAAGTTCATCTAGCCGACAACTGAAGGCTGCAATTACACAGTTGGCACACTAGAAAATAGTGTAAATACTATAAATATAAATGTAACTTTATTTTTTAATATAATAAACAAATAAAAGTAAAAACGGTGTTTAAAATGTGACATGAAGTTTTTAACAACAATAAAAATTCCCTTTTTTTTAACAATATGGAAAAGTAATAATTTTTTATTGGGTATAAAATATGAATGGTTTAAAAGAGTTAAAAAATTTATTGTTAAAAAAGAGAATAATGTGACATGTCATTTCATTAGGAGAAAAAAGAGTTCTTATTGTGTCAACTGTCAAGTATATTTTGAGTAAATAAAAATAGTTGGATGATATGTTAGTGTTAAAAGAAACAAAAGTGATATTGCTAGGGAATTTTTCAAACATGAATGACAAAGAAATTACTTGAAAAGTTCACCATTGTAGTCTTACAAAGATTTATTTATAAATTAAATAACAATGCTAAACGGTTTTGACTTGGTATAACTTAAAATAATAAATAGGGTGGATTTGGAGGGTTTATCAGCCAAGTTTATTGTAATTAACTTTTGGGGTTTCTGCATATTAATGCATAGTTTAATTTCATCATGAAACTTTTGTGAGAATTTTTTTTTTCTGTAGAACAGAGCGAGGCGGATGAAAATTAGAAATTTACGGGTCAAAACTCAACCTGCCCCGCCTAACCCATTTTCATCCCTAGTCAAAAGAAAATGCAACAATAATAATTTGGCTAGTTAAAGCTATCACGATGAGAATGAAGTGCATGTGCACAAAATTCAGACCAATCACCTTCCACTTCTCGATGTTTCAGTGACATATGCAAAAAATTTTATGAAATTGATATATATAAATAATACAGATTTAATTATTTTATGTACGATATATTTATCATCTATTAATTTAGTCTCTGGTTTTAAGTTATAAGAGATTTTGAGTTCAATATTACTTAACACAATTTTTTGTAACAGTATTATGTTATATTTTACAAAACGGCAAAGGGCCAAATATACCCCTGTACTATATGAAATAGTTTAAATATACCCCTAGTTATACTTTCGAGCTAAATATACCCATTCCATTATACTTCGGGCTAAATATACCCTTATGACTAACAGATGACACGTGGATGACTGAGATTTAGTGAACTATTCAATTTAAAATAAATTAAATTTGGATATAACCCGCTCCGCTCCAATAACTTGACCCGACCTAATATGTAACATTAACCCACCCAATTTGTCTTTCAAAAGCAAAAAACCTAATGGGTGATTGAGTTCTTGCTCTCCAGCAACGTCTGCAACTTGGAGTTTCTTCATCGCAAAGATTTTTGCTCAAAGGTATGATTTATTTTCTTCTTCAAACTTTATAGCCTTGAGTATGATTCAAACTTTATCAGTGTCCTAAATCTGAATTTTTTATCAATGTTCTAAACCTGAAGTAAGTTCAATTATTGAGTTTAAACCTTTGTTTTATTTTTCTGATAAATTGAAGTTGTTTTGATTACACTTCACAGAAAAATTCATGTGGCTACTGCGAGTGGCACGACAACGTGTTTTCAGATAGAGCGGTGGTTCTAATAAATAATTTAAAGACTCAATCGAATGCGGCTACGATTAAAGTTGATACTTCAACATGATGTTGGACACAATTAAGATAACTTGAAGGAAAAAGTGGATGCAATGAACGGTTCAACCAATTTTGAAGTAAACAAATCAAGGTTATTGGAAGATAAAGTGAAGAAGATGAACACGTTAATTATGATTTTGTGTGCTTTTGTTATTGGGTCTGTTGCCTTGCGGGTGATGAAGTGATGAATTAGTGAACTTGTGTAATGTTAGGTGAAGTATCCTGATTTTTTTTAATGTACAGTTGATAATCAAGCTCAACTCATGGAAATTTTCTTGTAATATTTATTGATAATCAAGCTCAACTCATGATAATGTTCCCCTGTTATGTTGGTTATGTAATTTCAAAAATATTATTATCATTGACAAGTTTGCTGTAACACCCAGTGTTCTTTGAAAATTTTATAAAAAAAATCAGCTAGGAAACTCATAGGAACTCAAGAATACAGAAAAATCTATGTGATCTATGACATGGGATATTTAAAACGAGAAGCGCTAAAAAGATATCAAGAAAAAATTATCAATTATCATGAATTCGATAGAGCAAAAAAAAGACTTGCCATAGCCTTATCATGCCTTCTTCTTCTTGGACTCGAGCATGAAGTATCCAATACAGATGCTCAAGAAGCAGATTAGTGCCACTGCAGCATATACAGAAATGAGAATTGCGTATTCTTGAGGTAGAAAATACTTATGCACGAAATGATCGCTGTCAACAAGAGGCAGAATGATGACAACAGAAGGTATAATATGTGAAAATAGACAAACTAGTCAATATTAAAATCAGCCCAACTCGGTCAACTAACTCCATCGAAATTCCTCTGCTTGTGCCGCCTGAAAAGTTCGAATCTTGATGTTGAAGATTTCTGCTTTCAGAGCATAAAGATCGTCTTTTTCTGTAAGCACATTCTATAGCTTGGCAACTCATATAAAACATATTAGTTAGTTGGTCTTTATAATCTCAATAATATGAGTTCAATTAGTTCAATTATATAGTTGCTATATAGTTGTGTTGCTGCTATATTAATTATTTTTATATCTCATGATAACAATTTCGAACAAAATACCTCGATTTTTCTTCAAGGAAGATATTGATCAACATGAAGTAGCTAGGTTAGCAACATTTGTTTAATAGCTACGGTGCAACAACTATTTTCATCAACATGAAGCCACACATTAGCCCAAAAATATGAGCTTAGTTCCATCCATATGCTAACTAACTAACACAACAACATTTCACCTCAAAATATAGTAACAAATGGTAAAAAATGTAGCAAGAGTTTGGCTAAAATATGTAGTTCCATCCATATGTGGCAGCACACTATCTCAAAATATAGTCACAAATTTAGTCTCAAAATATAGCCACAAATTTGGTTTAAAATGTAGTAGTGATTTGCCTCAAAAGTGCAACAATGCTGGCATCAAAATACAGCAGCAATTAGCCTCAAAGTGCAACAACATTTCTTATAAGAGTGCAACTGCCAAGTATAACAAATCAAGTAAAACTGCACAAACTGTCGATCTCGACCAAAATTCAGAAAACTAAACATAATATTTCAACAAACTAGACTGCACGATTCAACACGAAATACTGTAGAATTCAATCAAAATTTTAGAAAACTTAACATAATATTCAGCATACTAAACTGCCAATGTAACACAAAATAACATGAAATCATCAAATATCGTCTGGATGTCACAATATAACCCCAAAACTTATACAACATAAGTTTTGATGCGATATTTCCAACTTTGCAAAAGCTATTTTCCCAAAAGTACTGTTTAAACAATAGTTACATCATCAAATTAAATTGTCCACAAACTTAACAAAAATTAACCAAACTGATATTGTCCCTTTTTTGGCTTCAACTTTGCAATTCTTTCTTGACTTTGAACTTTCAGTTGATTGAACGTAATTGCATCTTTACCTTTTCAAGTTAAGCTTTTTGGTTGTATTGGAAGATTTGTTGGATCACTTATACCATTGTGGTCACCTTTGAAGCTTATTACCCTTGTCCCTGTTGATATATGTTGTCTCATTTGAAGCCTAGTAAGAGTCTCTGAAATAACTGTAGGATGTAGACAAGGATCTTCATCATGTTCATAGTCACATAACATGCTACTTTGACTATTTTGTGTTTCTTGAGGGGTTGTTAGGTTGATGCTCTCTTAAGTTTGAGAAGGTTCTCCCTCATCAACTAAATTTATTTTACGCTGCTTTTTCTTTACCTTTTCCGTAGCAAACATTTTTTCATTTTTGACTGTGACAAGCAAAAAGTTAGAAAATATAAATACTCCATACAACTGTTAATTAAACTATTTAATAAAATACCTTGTCGCAACCTCTAACGTTATGATTTGGCTTTCCACAATTGCTACATGTCATTATTCTACCTTTTCTTGACACAGCCCACTCACCTTGCCTCTTAAGTGCTTCATCTTTCTGTCTAACTCTCTTAGTTTTAGGCCTGCTAGCAAGCTTGACAAACTCTGGTGGCTCCATTGCTTGAAGAGGGTCAATTTTCCAAAAATTTCTCCCCCCCTCACATGTTGCAACTTATGCTTGTAAGTTAGTAGAAATGCCTC